TGAATATTTCCGTCCAAACAGCAACGTACTCCATTCGTGATACAGAGAACGGTACCTTAAGAAAAACATGTTTTGAAATCGTGAAAAAAATTTGCTTTTTCAAAATTTTTCATGAGTACATTTTGTACCAAAAAATGTTACTTTTTTTGCCTATTTTTTTTTTGATAATAGTGGCAACCGACACGCCTATCCATAACAGTTGCACTGCCACTCAGAACTTTAAATCGCAAAGATCTTAGGGGCACTGCCACTGCGCCCGCCACCCTGAGACATAAGTTGACAAGTCCCTTGTTCCTGTAATTTCACCAGCACCCTTTGTTATTTCGAGTGCGATCACTATTTGGAATATTGGAACATATTTTTATTACACACGAACTGTTATTACCCTATATGTAGATTGCGTACCTACAGCAAATTTTGTACGTAATGGCAAGTAGTGCCTACAGCACCAAAGACTGACTCTGGCATTAAAAATGTCTCCATTTCGTAGGTAAGCAAATTACACATGAAATTGTCACATTGAATAAACTGCGTTGAATCTTCTTCGTCCTGTCCTTATCCCACGCTAGGTGGGGTCGGCACAACATGTATTTTTCTTCCATTCTCCCCTATCAGCCGTCATTTTTTTACTCACACCTTTCGTATCCATGTCATCTTTCACACAATCCATCCATCTTTTCTTTGGCCTTCCTTTCCCCTTATATCCTTCCACATTCATACCTAGCACTCTTCTCGTCACATGACATTCTTCCCTCCGCATGACATGTCCATACCGCGTTGAATAAACACATTGAATAGTACCTAAGGCAGATTCACCTGAGAAGAATGATTAACAAACACTTCATTCAGGGTTTTGTCATAACAAATATCATAATACCAAGTGACGGGATGAACGGGTTGCTCTTTGTTAATAGATATTTGTTCACATTGATCACCAGTGATCGGAATTGAGGGGGTTCATTTAGCTAAAGTAAAGAATAACGTGGACATTCCCTTCCACGAATCCTGGGACTTCTCGGAACTGATTATATTTGAATACGCGAATTCTTTATTGAAATTTGAGTACATTTTCGATAAATTATGATTTCCTATTAAGTATTCTCCAAATTATTGCCTAAAAAAATTATATTGTAGTTGTATCTCTATAGGTACTTAAAATAGTTAAGTACCTATAGAGACATATATA